CTCCCCCCCCCCCATCCCTCCACGAGCGGGAAAATGGAGAGGACGACGTGCGGCTTTTTGTGACGAAAAAGACGTTCAGAACCACCAGTCGTATTGTGTTTTCATTGGTCGTGCGAAGACAGTAGCAGCCTGATATACGCATGCATTCCGGGGGATTTCGCTCCTATGATTGAACCCTTTGGTTCGAGTTGCTGAAATCAATTGGCTGTATGGTCTTTGAATCTGTCAGAAGAGATACACTACTTTAGTTTTTTATCAGGGGTATAGACAGTAAATGACTTTCCGGCTCAGTGAAGATGAGCGATGATGTCAAATGTGGAGTAGATCTTGATCCAAGAGTACCGTCCGTATACGACAAGGGAAGCTGAGTGCCCATCGGTTGAGTTACCATGGCGACACATTCGATAAATTTTGATCAGCAAAAATATTAATCATTCACGTGACATCAAGATGGATATCCAGAGTAAAACAAACCTCCCATGAGAATACATGAAGGTCAGAAACCGGCACTTAGAGTGGGAATACAATAGAAATAGCGCATGGAATAGAACACAACCAGCAAGTACGAACAACAACAGCACTCACAGGCTACATCAGTGGCAACCAGAATCGGAGCTTCTTGACGTTTGAACGACTGAATCACGGTATTTCTCTCCGACTGATGCATATCCCCGTGAATGAGGAGCACTTTGTGATCACGCATTTTCAATTTGCGAGCCACCTCCTCACTGTGAGCTTTTCTCGTGACGAATATCAGCACGCTACCCTCTGATCCGGACAAGGGCGTGGAAAACAATTTGGGCAGATTGGTCAATATTGAAACAAAATGCCAGGGAAAAGCAGTGAGTGGATCAACACCAACATTGTGGGGTTGGTAACACGATGCAGATAGCTGTAATCTGAGGATGTTAGCGGGGACCGGGGTCGGGTCAAAACCAAACAGAAGTTTCTGCCCATCACAAATCTGCCCTCGCATGAGATTTAGCTGAATATGGGGGTGTTAGGTATAAATCCTATCAGTGCTCATAATATAACGGGCGGATGGTATAAGCGAGATAAATTGAATATGTGAATAACTGCATATGGGTGGCTGGGACAGGGAGGTTGTGGTGTAGTCTTGAGAATGTGGTCCACCCTTCCCCCTCCCACCCCACCAACATCAATGCCTTGCAACTGCTCGAACCCTCGTTCCACAGACAGACAGACAGACAGAGGGGGAAAAAGAGAGCTCAACCTCTTTCATATTGTTAAACAGTTGGTCTATCTGTGAGGGAACACAGATCGACAGAACGGATCTGTGCATTGTGGCACTTTTTTCTCATTACACACCTAAGTGTGATGAACAGCAGACGGGGCGAACCCCATAGTCACGACGACCAGCTAGCTGTTCAATGGTGGAAACTGGCAACCTAAGCCCCGCGACTTGGAATGGCCGAAACTCGAGTCTAGTGCTTCCGAGTGTATGGTTGAATCGATGAACTGAGAAGTGTGCGTGAAGGTGAAGTCCGAAGGATAGTCAGCTCAAATTATTAAAAACCAATTATCCCACACCACTACTCACAAGTAACTGCGAGTCAAAATTACGAAAAAGGGATGAAGGAGATCCCAAGGCTCCAAGTTACATGAGGAACACTTCCTCCGTATGGTGCACAATACACCACGAGGATCACACATACACAGAAGGTGGTGACCACTAATCACAACCAGGAAGGTGTGCGGCGGGGTGGGGTGAGTGAATTCACACGGCCCGGCTCGGTTGGTTGGGAACTGCAGTAGTTTGTCAACTCCCCGAAGTGAGCTGCTAATGGTTCATTTTAACCCGTTATAGCTCTGGATGCTGATTGGCTTTTCGTTTTCGCGAACTCGTGGTTACAATAGCTTCGTCATATGAAGGCAGTGAGTAAAGTTTCTCTGGTAGAGGCCGTTTTAGACACCTAATCGTATGGGAACATTTTGCGAAGAGTAGTGCCCAACGAAAATCTAAAAATAATCAAATTATTCCCAAATCTGTATATGTTAAATATCTTAGTGTCACCCTAGCCCATGACCTGTCCTGGTCTTCTCATGTCATCAACGTTTTCACAAAAATGAGAAAACCGTCCTTTTATGCTTACAGGCTCAGAAAACTGGCTGTATCACATGATCTTATTTTTAAATTTGTGATTGCCTGCATTCTTCCACACTGGCTATACTGACTGCTCCCCGATTTTTATCCCTGNAAACTGTCCTTCTATGCTTACAGGTTCAGGAAACTGGCCGTACCGCATAAACTTATTTTTAAATTTGTGATTGCCTGCATTCTTCCACACTGGCTATACTGACTGCTCCCCGATTTTTATCCCTGGATCAAGAGAAAAAACTTTACTTTATTTTCGAGACTCCTTAAACTTTTATCCCGCTACAATGGAGTTGTTTTGGTTGATTTCTTTATTTCCAAGTATCTTGACGCTTGGGATACATTCATCGACAGGATACCACGTGATCAAGGGCATTGTCTGTACCTGTCAAATCCCCGAATTCGCTCCAATTTTATCAGCTCCTTCCTGTGCGCGTACTTCCACATATAGAAACAATGTAATTCCACACCTCCTAGCTCGGTTATTGGTTAATCGTAAGACTGTTCTCATTCACCTCACGGAAAAAATTCTTGCATTAATCATTCTTTCATTTACTAAAGTGTAAAATTTCTTATATTGTCTTTTTTGTTTGCAATTGATTTGATTGATCTATCCACTGTAAAAAATCGTAAATTGCTGAAAATTCAACCTTTTGAGTGCATAAAGATTTTCTTGACTTGACTTGATTTGACCTTACTTGAGATTCAAACATGCTGCGGCTTTCGAAGGCTTGCCTAGTAGAACTTGAGCAAGACGGAGTTTGAATATCGGGCAATAAAAGCACATGGGCGTGACCGAATTCAATATAAGTTAGGAAACAAACAGTATATTGGTAAGAAAAACATTCAACTAACTAGGCTATAACTGAAATTTTTAAAAAACTCCCAGTAAATTGAACTAATCTACTGAGCACTAGGGAAGGGACAAGAAGAGAATCACAAAGTTGCTTACCAGTAGTGAGTCGGANGAGTCGGACCAAATTATGAGTGAGCCAGTCCCACTTCTGGTCAATTTTGTCCAGTACTTCAACGACTTGTGTGATGTCTTCATTGGCCTAGACAGAAAGTGTGGAATGAATGCGTGAACGAATGATTCAGAAATAAAATTCCGACCATCTCTTCTTCCGTTCCCTTGCCGACTATTATCGTATGGACAAACCAACAAGAAAAAAATTAAAAGTTGATTCCGACTAGTTTATATCATAGTTGCAGATATCTCATTTGTAAGCTAAAAGCATGGACAAAACGACATGACAACTCACTTCTCCCAAATGACCTTCAACAATCCGAATAGGATCGGTCAAGATATCACGAGCCAGACGCTCCAGTCGACGTTTGAATGTCGCGCTGAAAAGAAGTGCTACACGAGGACATGAGGAAAATAAAATCGTTTTATCGCACAGTATGTGAACATAAGTATTTTGTCAGATGTCATAAAGTGGACTAGGGAGAGTGGGAGAATGCAGCTACGAACGGAAGTGATAACCACTTCCGGAGTAGACATTAAACGCAAATGAACTGTTTATAAACCGAGTTGGATATTGACAGGACATTTCTCGTGAGGTACACACGAGCTGGCAGCTTGGGCCTAACTCATTCGAGTTCCGTGAATTCCCAACCAGTTTTGTTCTATTTCATTTGTCTCGGTGCGGGCACATCCGTGTTAGGGAGCGTCGACAAGGATGGAACAGTTATCTAATGCGTGCTATTAGTCATTACGTAATTTCCACAGGTGAACCGGTACATGTTTCAAGATTTCTATTTGATTAGATGAAAAGCTGCACAAGAGGGAAGCAATGAATAGGATAAGAACCATGTCAAAACGGTTTTTTATGGGATAAACAGTTTAGCGCACAGAAAAGATACTGTCTGAACCAGTAAGCAGAAGAATGAGCATAAGGTGGAGAAAACCGACTGTTTGGAACAGGTCACTTTGCAGAACCATGTTTGCTACAGACATGTAATTTGTGCACGTGACTACATTACAGTATTTCGTCGGGACGGAGAGTTCGAACGATCAACAAACGCTTCACATTTAGCAACACTGTCTAGAATGTTGGACAGAACAATCGAAGGTATACAATTCAAATGATTCTCATCACTGTTAATTAGATTGACCAACTCCCGCTTCAACTGGATTTAGATGGGAAACCAATTACCTCAAAAGATATCAGGCTCATGACCCAGATGGGTTGGTTATATTGATCAACTTCCAATGCGAAAAGTTCAGCCTTCATCTTGGAAGTGATGAAACTCCGTGAGTTGAATATGAGAAAGTGAACAGATCCCAACTGAATGCCAATTGACAAGAAAGACGATATATCTCAACTTGTGCAAAACCAAAGGGAATAAACATCGATCGACATAGACTCTAATCTTCTCGTTGACATGACTAACTATCGATTAACTGCCACTTGTTTGAGAACTGGACCGATTTGAAACCTTTATCTGGTATATATATTTTCCGTTCGGACAATTTTCGCAAAACACGGAACCACAATCTCAATCCCTATATTGATCTGGAAGCGGTTTTTGACTCAGCGGTCCGCACAAAACTCCGGTGGTTCCTCTCTTTGAACCGGGTGTCGACAGGGTTATTCTCACTATTACGAACCCTCTGTACCGAAGAAGAGTTCGGGCTGACGGAACATTTTCGCTCGAATACGCAACCGAAAGTGGTGTTCGTTTGGGGCTACCCAGTCTCTCTCACTCTCGTTGCCGTTTCCATGAGTAATGCCAGGGTCGCGGTATCGATGAGTTCTCAGATGGCATACTGCCAGCTGTGGAGTACGCACGCGACAATGAAAGGTCGCATCCCCATCCCAGGGAGCCTAACGAGACCTACATGATCGGGGCTCCTGGTTAAGATTTTATTTTGACTACCATTGGCTTTTTTCAAACCACCATCTGCCTCGGTAAACAGAGTGCGCCGCGGCGACCGATTTCGTAAGATGCGTCGCACATGCCCCAACTAACGCAATCTGTAGAGATCGATCACTCAATTCAATGGATGGCCGTGAATACCTAAAGCTATACCCCTACACTCAGCATTCCTTGTCCGGTTTCCGCACCACACTCGTGCAGTGCGGCGTAGACAGCGGTGTTCAAACACCGACAGCCTATCCTTACTCTGTTTTCTTAATGGCCAAGTTTATGCTCCGTATAGCAGAATTAGCGAACTGCCCCAGCATATACTCGACCTTTCACAGATAGCCGCCTCCGAAAGCCTCAGTAAGATCGGGGGTGGGTGTCTAGGGTTCTGACTGGTCACAATTCCCTTACACCTCACGAAATGTTCCCATACGACCAAGCGTCTCAAACATCCAATCCTGAGGAAGCTCTACTCACTGCCTTCTCGTGGCGGCCGAGTTCTCCCAAAAAAGTAAGAAAACGAAAAGCCGATATCCAAGGCTATAAACGGGTTGGTCCACCAATACTAGTTCACCTAGGGGATTCCAAACCAACCGTGAGGAGATGTACGAACCACACCCAAACCTTTTCGGTTGTGACAGCGGTCAACGGCTCGATTGGGCTTCAAGGTGTATTGAGCAACTTGGACATCTGACCTCGTCCAAAGGGCGTATGATTCGATGAACTGGACACCGGTTCCCAATGGACTGCGGTTCTCACACACTACCCCACTGCCT